AACATACAAATATGATCTGCTTGGTGCACTCCAACTCATATGCAATAAAAATACACGTATAGTCTACTTATTGTTGACTTCTTTCAAAATTTTCCTTGCTCGTTTATTTCCTTTTAAATCGTATTTGATGCTTTTTGTGAATGTTGCTTAATAAAGGATTATTCCATCCAATGCATATTCGCCTATTAATTTCTGGTCAGCTATGTGTTTCTTAAGAAAATTTGGAACAAATTCATGTTAACTTTCTCAAATTCATATAATAATACCAATAAGAATGACCTGATGCCGAAAAATCAGTAGGGCATATTGTATAAAGCGTCTATCTGGTGGAATTTCAAATAACACCTATAAAATAAAAACATATCACCCCTATATAATGAACAAAAGAGGTCACATATAATACTGGAAGCTATTGTTCATGATGACTTTGTCTTTCATAGAATATTTTAGGTTAACAGTCTAGAATCAAACGGGGATTTGGAAAATCCACAAAAATGTCTGTTCTTTCAGATTATGCATTTTGAGAAAGAATTTATCATCATTTATTTATTGGGTGAGAAATAACTTCCTGGCATGCAAAGTCTAACATTTTAAAAGTTTTGTTGAAGATACAGACAGTGCTTACACATGTAAGAAGGATGGTTGCAATTATATAATACTATAATTGTTGTTATCACCTTTCAAATTCCCAAAGGACCAGTTTCTTTCTGAAAGTGTCGTTTATCATTATGAGGGCTGTATATCCCCTATTGTTCCTGCCATTCTTTTGTCCTAATAACATGTTCATTCTTGTGCACGTTAACATAACTTTCATATCAAATTATTGTTTTTTACATGCACCTTCAAATTGTCAATGTTGTTCAAAGTTTTTTTTTCTCGAAAATTAAAAAAAGATAAAGTAATGCTACTGGCATTTTTCAAATGTCGGTCACGCAATTCCAGCCATATCTAGACAGTAAATCTGAGATCAGCTAGAAATGTAACACAAAACCCTGCTTATACATGTAATGAAAACTGAATTATGATAGTTTTTATCACTGGTGTGTTGTTTAAAAAAGCGTTTATAATAATGATAGAGAAAATGGTAAAGGAAACGAATTTCACAGTCATACAGTCGCTCACATGAATACAATTCTTTTTGTCTTTGACCATGTTAATCTACAAAAATATGGTGACTTCAAAAAACAATACATACGAGCGACGCTACGCTCAAAAGCTATATGCATCTATGCCAAAAACAATCACACCTCTTTTTCTTTCAATAAAAAATGCCAGGCTACGTATGAAATATGGAATTCCGTGTTATTTTGTTTGAACAGGAAATGTTCTAAGCACATATTCAAACTTTCTTAACAAAAATGTAGGAATCATCATTTTTCAACACAGGAAAAACCTTATGTACTACATACAGTATGTAAGATAAACTACTGAATGTGCTGTTGCTGTAGTAAAATTGTACAGTAGATTCAAAACATGTACATGCATTTCAAATCTACCTTAGAAAATCGGTTAGACGGCTCCTTTTTTTTTCCTGTTTTGGGATGGGTTTTTTTTTTTTTTTAGAATTTTGCGATAGTAATGAGTTTATCCAACCAAAGAAAATGTTGTCATCCCTGCCACAAAATGAGTATTTGTTCTAAGTTATGGGAAACACAGAGGTCATCGGAAGGTCAAAAATATGCTAATTTCCGAATTTTCTAACTTTATATAAATTCCAATTGCTTGTCCAGTACATTTTGTTTTATTAAACACAAGCTCACCTATCCACAAATTTCAAATACCAGATACATGTAGGCAAGCTTGGCTCTTTCACTCCCAAAGTGAAAAGGATCTTTTTGACAAATTTAGATAAGAATTGAGAAAATTCGAGAAAATGTCCTACATCTGCACCCTTCTGAGTCCCTTATGTAAGCTTTTAATCAGAATTCCTGCTGATTTATAAACAAGCATCATTTTAGGTTCTTAACTACAAATTAACACAAATTCAACTGTTTTCAGGTTTTTACATCAAATGAGAGCTTGAGGCCAGAAACTGCCTTTACTATACCTTGTCCTTTAAACAAACAAAAAAAAAGTATCAGATAATTTAATCAATTAGAGTTACAAACAGAATGTCCATATAGCTTCAAAATTATTATAACTAGACTTCAATAAAAACAGAAAAATATTTGTCCACACAACTGAATATATTTATTTCAGACAGAAAGAATTTAAAATAACTAAATCACAACCATAACAAATACATAACTTTTAAGAGAGTATTTCTCACTTATTCATATAGCATTGAAAAGCTTAGTCATGTTAGTACATGTAATACTAAAAAAAGAAATCATGGTTCAGTACAGCTTAATTCAAAAGTAAAGCATGATTATCATGTGAACCAGAAGTCTCTGTCGAGACTGAAGCTCTACTGGTTTGTACTTATAGCAAAGGAAGAGAAAAGTACTTTAGGAGTTAGAAATTGAAACTTTTCAACAGCAATAAATAGAATAATGATCCTTGATTAAGTCTCTTTATGTTCTTAGTGTAGTCAACTTGCATGCCACATTATATTATAATCAGACTAAAACTGTTATTTGGAGTAGCATTTTGAGAGTATTTAACAGAAATTTCTATTTTTAGTAACCACAGCAACACCGTTCATCGAAATCAGAAACCGATAAACAGAAATATGTATCTTAGTGTAGTCTACTTGTGTGCCAAGTACTATTGAAATCAGACCAAAACTGTAGGAGGAGTAGCATTTTGAAAGAATTTCACAGAAATTTCTATTTTTAGTAACCACGGCAACACCGTTCATCGAAATCAAAAACTGATATACAGAATTATGTATCTTAGTGTAGTCTACTTGTGTGCCAAGTTATATTGAAATCAGACGAAAACTGTAGGAGGAGTAGCATTTTGAAAGAATTTCACAGAAATTTCTATTTTTAGTAACCATGGCAACGCCGTTTATCAAAATCAAAAGCTGATATACAGAATTATGTATCCTCGTGTAGTCTACTTGTGTGCCAAGTTATATTGAAATCAAACCAAAACTGTAGGAGGAGTAGCATTTTGAAAGAATTTCACAGAAATTTCTATTTTTAGTAACCACGGCAACACCGTTCACCTAAATCAAAAACCGATACACAGAATTATGTATCTTAGTGTAGTCTACTTGTGTGCCAAGTTATATTGAAATCAGACCAAAACTGTAGGAGGAGTAGCATTTTGAAAGAATTTCACAGAAATTTCTATTTTTAGTAACCACGGCAACACCGTTCATCGAAATCAAAAACCGATACACAGAATTATGTATCTTAGTGTAGTCTACTTGTGTGCCAAGTTATATTGAAATCAGACCAAAACTGTAGGAGGAGTAGCATTTTGAAAAATTGTTTACAGACAGACAGAAAAATAGACAGACAGACAGACGGACGGACGACGGACGCATTACCATCGCATAAGCTCTTCTGGTCTCTGACCAGTAGAGCTAAAAATAGACAAACTATTCACAGATTTGCAAAACAACACTCTTGAATTCGTTAATTAAAAAAACTATTCCACTGATTGAATGAGAGTAAATTGCACATATGATATATACTAAATACTGACAAGAGACAAGAATAACAAATAAATTAATGGTATTCACAATGAAAAGTGTGGCCATTTCATAAATGTTTACAAGTTTATTTTTTGAGCATGTTGAGCATTGGTTACATTATATTTGTCAATATTAAAATATGATCAAAATATGCATACAAACTTATAAACATGGTTCATGTGGTACTTTGCCAAGTATTTTGGTCTTGTATCCAGTGAGTAAGGTTACCCCTCCTTCCCAATTAAATGTCTATGCTGACAAATCATATGACAAAAAATCGAGACTGACAAATTCAACATTCCTTATTGATCTTACAAGGACCATCAAAACATACACACTCTGACACTAGAAGATTAATAAGGCCTTTTAAACTTTATCATCCTTTACCCTTAAGTTTATGGAATTTAAACTACTACTAATCCAGCAAAGGAAATACTTGAAAGTTTGCTATTGGATTATATAAATGGTATTATAAATGACTTGATTGGATTTTAAGAACACAGAATTCTTTCTTGAACATTCAGGTCCATAAGAAGCAAGTATATTACATTATGAGAAATCATTAGGCCAAAAAAAAGGCCTGGGGGTGATTGTAGTGTATTTGACCCATGGAAGCATTTTTTTCTTAGTTACAATGAGATTCCGCTTCAAAAACTTTTAATGAAATCATTTATCTTAAATATTTTTTTTTCAAAAACATTTCAGAAACTGTATTTATACAGGTTTGCTTGTAAAAATGTCTGTATCAGTTGTGAAATTCAGAGAACATTTAAAACATGGTTGCATATATTTACCGAGATGCAGGAGTAGAGAAACCTTAAGTTTGTCAAAGCTTGTCAAAGTGAGCTATCATATACAATTATACTGCTTTTTACTAGTTAAAGAATATAACATATATATTAAAGGATTAACATGTAATCTATCATATTTCTCATTAATGATTTCCAATTATCAATTTCAAATATATGTACTTATCATCATGATCATGCAAGCTGCAAAACTATGAAACAATTACAAACATTATAAATGAATGTATATATCATGTTTTTAATGTATGACTAATGGACATTCAGATTAAGAGGGTTTATTATATACTTTTCAATTAAAATAACTGACCATGTTGACAGAGGTGCTGTTAATTTGGCAAATATGGATATATAAATATACTCAATTAATAAGTATTAATATTATAATCTGAGTGTGTAATCAATCATGAAAATATTAACATGTACATGTATATATTGCAAAATCAGAGAAGTCTTCTAAAGGAAAAGAGAAACTATTTTAAAAGCAAATACCGTTAATTTTTTGTAAGAGATGTGCAATTCGTCTATGTTAAATTTAATGACTGTGATGAATCGGTTACCATGAGACTAAGGTTGTTTAAAAATGATTGAAAGAAGGCACGTTGATAAAAAAAGAGAAATTATGCGGAAACCAATAAAATGATGTGAATAATTTCCTGCAAAAATATTTTTCAAATTTTATTGCAAAGGTTTACATGCCACTTGAAGATCACTTCCTTTTTTACAAATCCTCTATAGTATGCTTTGATCAAATTCATAGCACTGTTTTAACTAGGGAAACAAGGAAGAAATAAATTCTCCCTAGTTTTGTTTTGGGTTAACAGGGACTTCATTGAAATCACAACACACAAATATATATCTCCTGATTTTAGTTCCTGGCTAACATGATACCAGGAATTCATCTATCCATGGAAGAGCTCGATCTGCATACTTAATTAGGTTACACCATCATGGTACACAAATTCTGATTCAGCCTTAAAAATCACAGCCAGTAAATGGTTGAAAAAACATCTTCATTGATTCACATGAAGTATGTAATATCACAATAAAAAAACGTCTTTTGAGCGCCACTGCATATTCAATGCAGTCACCAGAATTTAGAATTTGGTCACGTCACTTATCACTCTTCTAGTTGGAATAATTGGAATTCCCATGGCTTCATTTCTTAAGTCTTCTAAGTTCTGTTGCTGCACAATATTTAGTCTACTTTGTACCTCTGCTGGAAGTTTCCAGGAGGTCATACCTTTGGAATTCTGAAAGAAAATTCTACCAAAGGTGGCTGGGTCTTTGCTTCGATGCACCTGCCAGCCTAAAGGAAGCTCAGCTTTGTCTCTTGGAATGCCACAATCACAAACTTCATTTTGCTTCAGTACCTCTTTCAACCTATTGGTAATGTCTTCGTCCACATTTCTGGGACTTGAATAATACGGGTTACCATCTTTAGAAGTATGGCCAACTGGGAGCTGGGCAGGAGGGCGAGAATCAATTGAAGATGTGGAGGCATGATTTCTACCCTTGCTACCACTCCCTCCACTAGCAAGGGACATCTGGCTGCCTGAGATGCTGCCATTGTGCATACCCTCTGGACTTCCATAGGAGTTCAAACTACTGCTACTGGGGCTGGATAGTCCCATGGATTGCTGAGAAGAGAGGCGGGGCAAATCGCGGGGCCTTGAGGGTAGAGCAGGGGGATGTTCTGCCCCAGCGGAAACATCTTGTGGTGATTGATAATGGCTACCACTGGCTGAGCTACCTGATTCGTCCCTTGAAACACTTCCATTTCGCTCTGAATTACGCTTTTCCAAGGGATACAAGAATCGCACATTGTTCACTTTCTGCAGATTTTTCACCTCATTTTGTGAATAATAGGTTATGAGTTCATGCACGGAATGAAACTTGACTTCTGGTACTAAATAGAAAAACTTTGTTCCTGATCCGCCCTCAATTTTGATGTTTGTATGGCGAACAGTCTTATCAGACACACTGCATTGAAAAAAAAGGTTTAAAATTAAAATTTATATTATAAATGATTCAAAATATTTCTATTCTTTAACATTATAATGGAGATGATATACTGAATACTAAGCAGAATTTTTAGCAAGAATTCAATTTTGGCATTATTAGCAAAGGTTGAAAGATCACTAAAATTGAATATTGCTAATAATCATAGCTTTCCCTCTCCTGAAATTATTACACCACTCAAATTACTTTTCACTAAAAATATATGGCATTTTTTTCAGGGTATATTGCTAGAATTTCCACTTATATAGTATTAACATTAAAAAAATCCTTACATAGTGGATATGGAGATTGAGCTTCTGTTGCTAAAACTTGGCCGCAGAAGGAAATACCCTGGAGTTTTCTTGGAATGGTGACTAAGATACTGACAAACCTAAAAATAAAGTTAAAACGAATTCTGCTCCTTTATTCACTGACAAGTTTTATGCAATAATCACACATCAAATGAGATCATTTTTTATGCAAGGAAACTCTGTACTTGTAAAAAAAAAAGTATATAAGTAATTAATTAAGTCATAAAATATGTAAAGATTTTCTATGGAGTAAAATTCAAAACTACATTGTACTATAAAAAGAGTTTTTTAATGGAGTAATTAATCAATCTGCAGAACAAGAATTTCAATCTGAGGATTTAAAATTACCACATTTTTTTGAATTTACATTCTAGGATTTGATTTAAATGCAGTGTAAGTAAGTAAGTGTGTGTCAAATTTCCAATGAAATTTTTCAACCATCAGTTATATAGTATAAATGAACTCCACACAGAAAAATGTACTATATATTTGTCACTATGGTGAGTAATATGTGTACCAAATCTAATTAAAGTTTAAATCGTTACACCTTTTCATATTACATTATTTCAAGTTATATTCAATAAAAACTATGTTAAAGTTTATTAAGACATGTTTTTTTCAATTATTTTTAGATACCTCTTCTTGGTTTGTGAAATTGGAGTAAAAATATCTAAGTTTCCTATAATCGGTCCGACTGTCTAATGTGTTGAGACCCATATCCGAACCCTGAGTCCCGACAGAGGACCAACTGCTGATAGACGATTGGCTGCGTTTCTGGGTTAGGGGCCCAGGAGGGGGAGGGGCTGGAGAATCGGGAGGCGTGTCACCAGTGGGGGGTGGCTGAGGGGCGTGTCGCTTCGGCATCCTTGAAATGTTTTACCACATGATGCTGCACCATTAGTCTGCAAAGAAGAGAAAGTACAATTATAATTCAATTAAATACAATTTTTCCATGATTTAATTTTACAGTCTACATTTCATGGGCTGTGTTGACAGCTTGGTTTTATAATGGTCTTAAAATTTCTCTTTTACAGGGATTTCAAAAAGTGGGTGGCAGACTGACAGAGGCCAATTTATCTTTGTTCCAACGATCAGAATTCACTGCTTCAATACTTGAAACAGATAAAATTCATCATGTTCATGTACTGATACTACATCATCATGATTATTTTATATAATTTTTAAACAGCCTCTTCAAAATGTAAAAGTTAACCTCTTCAAAATTATTTCTGAATAATAAGTTCAGACCTACTATTATGTATTATATGCAAATTAATCATTCCTTTTTGTTGAAGAGGAGAGATATTTTTGGGCTAGACTTTTGACTCAAACTAGCATAATATATGCAAATTAATTATAAGTATCAACTAAGCTTATATCTGTACCAATCTGTATCATGCAGAGCAATTGTAAAGCAATTATCACAAGACCTTGTAATGAAATTGTTTTTTGATATTTTTATTCTATCTAAAACTACAGTAAAAAAAAAACCTTTGAAATCCTGTGTCTTTATATACTGAAAGGAAAAAGAAACGCAGGGTAAACTTTTGAGGTGAATTAAATTTGTTTTTCTTAAAATACTTATTATTTTTCTTATCTACCTTTTAAAACCATCTTTCAAAAAGATATAACCAAATTCTCATAAGATTTTGTCTAATTATTCATAAGTAAATGAAGCTCAAATGACGATACCCCCCAAAAGTGAAAATCGAAAACTCTCATTATCTTCAATGTCTATCTCGTGCATTTGTCAGAGCCTTATTCCTCCTTTGCATGGAATTTCATCAAAGTGTTTAATTTTCAAATCCTGGCTATATTTAGCATGGGTAACCATAAGTCAAGCGGCGCGCGCATGCGCCAGTGAGAGGAATACAACCGTAGGTTGACTGGCTCAAAAAACCAAATTGCAGAATTGTTTTCTTTCAAATTTCGTATGAATGTAATGATTAAAATAATCTACTCTATAAATGTCTGTTTTTGTGGTGGTAAGGTGGCGATTTAAGAGATGGCAGGACGAATAACCCGCTCGTAACATGACTCTGTTTCGCGTTACCGTTATCGTCACGGTTGATTGAAAACCACCCTAGACCCTCTCTGACAACGGCTTAAACGTTTTATGGGGGAAAATTTACAAGAGACTGCTTAGTAAACCGTTGTTGCCTTTTTCATTAATTAGGCAATTCGAAAACAAGACCCCATTGAACTTTCGTAAACTGTGCCAAGATGGCAATAAATTCATAATGTCTCTTAATATTGAAAAACGATGTGCATACCTCATATGCATCAATTAATGCAACAAGATTTGTTGACAAACTCGTCGTTATCAAATTGCACGTGTTTTGGGCTTTTTAGCGTTTTCCCTACGTGACGTCATAAATTTTACGGTTGAGTAATTCTGAATACTGATTTTGATGCAGAGCAACTAAATTTCCATTCTGACCAATTTTCGTAATTTTCGGTCATGGGGTCAAATTTTTATCGAAAATTATGCTACCCTGCGTTTCTTTTTCCTTTCAGTATATATATATTTTATATGTCAAAGTGTTGGACGTCTCAAAATCAGTTCATTTTCTGTCACCGTTTGAAGCAAAACAGGTTTAAGAATTTCTATACAATATATCAATCCTTTAACCCAAAAATATTTTTCATGGTTTAATGATCCAAACACTTTAATAACACGAAGACTATACTTTGAAAAATCTTCCATGACCTACAGTAATACTGATTTCATGCAACACTGGACATCATGAACAAAATGGATTTTAAACTTTTTTTGCATCCTGCCAAACATTTTAAGACTTCCATTGCCAGATCAAGTAAATTCTCTTCTCAATTATAAAAAAATAGATATATTACTTACTCTGTGATTATAGCATTTTCCATCAATAGTAACATTTTCTGTGTACAACAAATATTCTAAACTGTAAACATGCAATACACATTGATCTAGGTCGGTTAAGTTGTTGACAAAACTTCCATTGACTGGGGCCTGAAGACCTAGATATCGCTAAAAATACCACAACAGGAAAACCCAAAATAGGAAGAACGTCATGAGTGAATGCAGTCAGGCAGAAAAATGTATAAAACTGATAGATAGAAGGTGGCCAGACCTGCATGCCATGTCAAATAAATGTCAATCCTACATAAGTTAGCCACTTTGAAATAAAAATTATGCTCTTGTCTGACTAAATAAATCATTCTTGCACGACCATGCACTTTGTGACTTTTTGCATATACATGTACACTGTATATCAACTTTCAACTTGCTAGCAAATTTAGGGGGGTTACATCATGTACATGTAAATACAATACTTATGTTCGACAATGAGAACAATTACATGGCGAAATCCACTACATTGCATGTACAGTACATGTATGCCTTCCAAGGTTGTTACTTAGATAAAATTAAATTTCATACATTGTATAATGATCACGACAATACATGTATTGTTTTTATCTAATCAATGTTACTTTCAATTGTATCATATCTGCATGATACAATATGAAAGTTTTGATTGATTAGATAAAAAAAAACCAATACATCTTTACATGCATACTTTACTGAATAAAATGTCAATTAACATATACATGTACTAATTAATTGGTAAAAATAAACTAAATAATTTCATGCTTTTCAAATCAATATTAAAACTTTTTCACTATAGTATAATACATGTATGCACAGGCACCTGAATGTAAGGAGGGATAGAAGTTTTCAATATTTGATGCACTGAGCGACTGACTGATGAAAATTTTAAAAGGTGTCTGTGATGTATTTATAATTTTCTTTTAAATTAATTAACTTGACTTGGAAGCTGTGATGATGTATTACATGTATCAGAACATGTATTTGAGATGTTAATGAACCAGATAGCACAGATTATAATTATCAAAGTTAATATGAGTATTACAAGTGTACATATAGATCTACCTGATTTATCAGTTGAGAACTCAGAAAAGAGACTTTATGCAGAATGGGTATTTGATTACATGTATAATTCATATATTTAACATGTTTAAAAAATGGCATTTGCAAGATAACTTTATACACTCTTTATCTTTAAATAAATCTTTTTTTGTCTATAGATGTGATTTTAAAAGTTGACTACATGAAGGCCTATCATTAACTTAATTTAAACATTTTTATATGATTCTCAATTAATTAATTTAGAGGAGAAAAAACAAAAAAAAAACAGTATTCACCCTCCCAAATGTAATTAATATTAAAAATGATTCAAACTGTCTGACCTGTTTAGAAATATAAATTAACATTCAAACTTAGGGAATGCTAGCTATATAACATTTACTATAGGATTTTCTCCATTATCATGATAACCCATTAATGACTCAGAGTTAATGAATTTATAACAAAATTAGTCTTTCAAGTTTCTTGTATCTGAACATTTTGAGGTAGGTGTTTATAAGTAGCTGTTCTAGATTTAAGTTATTTTAGTCTGCATGTGATAGCACCCATATAGACCAGGAAGATAATTTTGCCATCCTTTTAAATAACATGTCAAATTCTGATTGGCTAAAAAGTGTTTACAGATTTACCTCAGTGCTTACTTCAGTGACAAAAGAAACGAGTTTTAAAATACCTCGGAATATATACCCTATTTTTAAGAGAGAAAAAAATGCGCAAAAAAATGTTTTACCTTTCAAATTAAAGTCTTTCTCTTTTGGGGTATCTTGTTATGCAGATACAGCATTTAAAAGTTGTCAAATTGATTTATCATGTTTATCAAAACAAGTTTAAAGGAGCAGTCCCTTACAAATTATGTGAATGCACTTTTCCAAAGTATCTGATACATGTAAGAAATTAAAAAATGAAGTCATTTTTGGGAACAGAGCTAAAAATAGACTGCTTGTCTGTTGTCATTCAATTCATCCATGGCTTAAACGATTTTCAATGATTTTTTTTTTTCATTAACGGTTTGCTTGAAAATGACCTCTTTCTATAAAGAGCACATAACTGGTCCTTTGAAAAACTTCAACAAAGTAAATTTGAGAAAAAAAATTTTTAGATACTGGTCAAGCGGTTCTGGAAATGAATTTGACAAATTAAATTAAATACATTTCCAATGACAGATATTTAACTTTCATTAATTGTCCATTTTAAGATAATCTATCATGGCCTTAATTGAACTTCCAGAAAAAGGAGGAAGTAAGCAAGTTGCTACCGTATTTTGACACAGGGATGAATTTTATAAAAAGAATGGCATCTTTAAGTCTTTATACTGAGTTTTCAAATACACTTTATTATCTTCCTTTAGTTTATTTTGAACCTATACTTTAACCATGTTAACCATACTGCATCTTTCAAGTACAGAGCTGGGTGTGGCCACAACTAAGAAAGAACTCTTTTGTTTGGTACACTGTTTCTGAAACTGTTCATTTAATAAGGAAGTAAATGAAAGATCAAAATTTCTTTCCATTTTACTTAAATAATGTTTTAGCTATACATGACTAAATGCATGTTTATCATCATTTAAGGACTTCAAGTGTCAAACTCAAGAACCCAGTCTATGGTCTAACAACATCTGTAAAGATGACAAGGCAAAGGAGCTCTCATGGAACAACATGAACAAAAAGCCAAAACCTAGTATGGTATGAAATATTGGATAATAACATCAGGTTTACACAAAATTTTCACATTAATACATAATTACTTTAACATATATCTGAATGAGAGACTTAGTGTATACATCATATTTTTTTAATCTCCCCCTACTAACTTCAACTGTTGCATACTGTAAAATCATATATTTTCGAGGGGTCAAGTTTTCGTGGTTGTAGGAAAATACATTGGTTCATGTGGATTTGATTTCGTGGTTGAAGAATTGTTCAGTAGAAATATATGTGAAAAACTGCATTTTGTGGTGGACATAAATTTGTAGTTCTCTTCATACCTTGAAAACCATGAAAATTAAACCCCCACAAAAATTTGTGATTTTACAGTATACATTTTTATTACCATCTACACTTAGGCTATCTAAAATGTATAAGCTTGCATGATTTTAACTGCATTCTAAACTAGTCATATATGATCATGATAATATAAGAAATTTTAAAAAAGAGCAAAATTTTTTATCTCCATCACTTAAGCATTGAATTCATATTTTGGGATGTCGTCGGACAAATAACACACATGGCCTTGCCGACAAATTGAATACCGCACGTTATTTACATTCTCTAATTTATTCTTTTCATAATTATTGTTTATTTTGGTCATCTTTAATGTGAATTTAGCACCCTTCAAAACTGGTGTGCTTTATAGACGTAAGAGCCATTTTTAACGTTTGTGATGTTGCAAAGTTAAATAACGCAAACGACCATTGCAAGAAAAAAAGTGACATATTGATTTTAAATGCACATTTGAAAGTTGTATTTTTACGTTCATTTAACAGGGTAATTTTTTTTTATCAGATAGTGTCAAAAAATGTACATTTTGGTGTTCCTAGAGTATTGAAAATGCATAAAGTTCCTAGTGTGTATTCTAACGCGCGGTGACAAGGTTTCGAGTGTGTTATAGAGATGTCATGGATTTCTAATGGATTTCATAAAGAAAATTACACTGAATGTAGATATTTTGTTTTATACCCATATTTTACCATAGCTACATGTGTATATGAAAAATTTAAGGAAGAATTTAGTTAGAAGGCAATTTACTACTTACTAAAAATTTAATAAACACTTCAAATATATGCAGATAGACCCTGCAGGCAATATTGTTTAGAGCGTTATTTATACTATAGGGACTTGGTATAATAATGAAAATTAAAGTGGTATGTGTTAAAAATACACTTAAAACCAGGAAATATAAAAGGCAAAATGGATTGA